TGCCTTTGGAAAGCCCCAGGAGGAGCTGGGCTGGCATTCATCCACAGCCACAGGCTGACAGGGGGGAAGAACAAGCACTTTGGATGTGCTGGCTGGGGCACGATGCCCTGTCCAGCCCAGAGTGAAGTACCAGGATGGGGTGATCAGGAAGTAGCAGGACCCCCAGCCTCCATGATCTAAACCTGCCCCTCGCTAACCCCCCTCACGGCTCTGGCTCCCCCCAAACCCCATGTGCCAGAGGGCTGGGGCAGCTGCCCTGCTCCAGGTCCCAGCCCAGCTCTCCACTCATGCTCGTACAACGAGGAACTGGGCAGCAGAAGGCCTGACTGGGATGGGCGCTGGCGCTACGTTCGTGTGTCGGCCGGGATGCCAAGGCCAGCAGGAACAGGGAGGGGTGGGATCCAAGGATGGCTCCGGCAGCCAGGAACTCCTGCCCAAGTCATTACCCTTCTGGCTTCCCACAAATGACTTATGCCAATTTTTTTTTTAAATTTTATTTTTAAGCAAATCACTTTTGATTTTGGACACCTCCATACTCAGGAGGACACTTGTCCTGATCTGGGGCAGCTGAGCTGAGGCACCTGGAAGGACAGATTAACATCTGCCTCTTGGCATGGTGGTGAAATTGGGCAAAGTGTTACCTGTTTCAGGAAGACAGCTGCTTCTTCCTCTATCCTCCACCACTGGGAGCTGGAGAAGTCACCTCCTAGCCTGTTTTAGCAAGATCTCCTGGCTTTTTTTATGAAAGGAAAAAGTCCAAAGAAGATTTGGGAGCTTTTAAACACTGAGCTACACTTTGGCCTCTGTAACCAGCCTGCCTCGAGGACTGAATGCTCCATTCCCAGGGGAAAACTGAGTATCCAGCAACAGTTGGGGAGCATCCCTGCTCATGCCACCATTTCACAGCAGGATCCCTCTGGTCCCTTGCCATTCATCTGCAGCTGGAGGAATCCCTACTTTCTGTGAAGTCCTGAAAGCATTCCTGAGCCCTGACGCAGCTCAGAGGCACACCTAAGGAAGAGAGATGTGATTTTAGGAGAAAAGCCACATAGCTGTGGCTTCCACTGCTGTGATGAGATCTTGTGCTCAGGCCTTTACCGTGTTATGGCTGGGCTCTACAGGGTGTGACAGGGCAGGAAAACCACGTGAAGGGACCAGAAGTGTCTCTTGCTGGTGGCAAGGACAAACTCTCGCAGCAAGAATCGACCGCTGCAGAGCCCCAGAGCAAGAGCAAACTGAGCCCAACTGGTCCCTGCAGCAGCTCTGCTCTGAGCAACCTGGACCGCCAGTTTCACAGTCACTTTTCAGATCCCCACAAGACTCATTTCCACCTTGGGCTGTCCCCGAAAAGTGAGGGGGAGGCCAAGGCAGAGGGTGATGCTGACCCTCAGTGCTGAGCACGCCTGACAAAGCAACAGCCACAGCCTCAGTTCTTTCAGACTCCGGCCTACAGCAGGATCTTGGAAGACAGCTCACCCAGAAACACAGACCCACTGTGGGACGTTCACTGGCAAGCAGGGAAAAGGAGGTGGAAGGACCCAGACAGACCCTGTACGGCTCAGAGCCCTCCGTTCACCCCCTCCCAGCCAGCCCGGCAGGGACGCACCAGGAGGTACAGCATCCCCACAGGGTGTCCAGATCCACCTGGGTAGCGAAAGAACAGCCGGTGCGGCAAAATCCCTAAATAACTCTCCTTCCACAATACCTGGGTCTGGAGGAAGGCTCAGAGCTCTTCATGACACCAGAACAGACAGACCCTTTGCTGCTGAATGTGGGAACCACTCGGCTGGATTTTCAACTGAGCATTTTGCCAAGCTCTGCAATTAAGCGGCGATCCCATCGGGAAGTTCAGGGACAGGATGGTTTAGCCTGGCACCAGTCAGTCTGTCATGCTGGGAAGAGCTAACATTAACTCCCCACAGACAGAGGCGGCATGGCGAGGTGGGTAAACTCACCCCACCCTTCACGCGAGTGCCTGAGCCGGGGCCGCCGGCAGCACCTCCCGACAGCCTCCCACCTCCTGCTCCTTTCGCACGCAAACAGCCTGCCGAGATGACCACATTTACTGCAGGTTTAGCTCAGAGCTTGGTTTGAAAAAGCGCTGCTTAAAATATCACAGAGCAACAAGGACTATGGCTGTCGTGGGCTCCCAGCCCGCTCCGGGGACCGACTCTCTTCCCTCTTCCGAGGGCGCAAGCCCTTCCCCAAAGCACTCGCAGCCAAAGCCAACACTCCTCCTGGCAAAGACTCCATCGACACGTCCAACGCGCATTCCTGGAGACATCCAGACTGCGCTGCTGGCACAGCGGTGCCTGGCACTGCCAGGCCTCTCCCAGCTGCCTGATGCCAACCGAAGAGTTAACAGCTTGCTGAAAGTCTCCTGGAGCATGCCGAGTCCTTGGGAGAGGAGCAACCTACCCACCCTCTAAACAAGAGATTGCTTGAACCGTTTCCTGATAAACTTGGTTCAAAATGGAAAGCGACCACGGAAGGGGCTTTGGTTTTATTCAGCTCTTTCTCTCTCTCCTACATAAAATTTTAGGAGAGTCTCCGAAACAACCAGTTTCAACAACTGGAGAATTTACCCGGGATAAAATACTGACTCTTTTCCCCACATGTTCGCCCCAGCAGAGCGAACACCTCACAGGCCCCCACTCTCCATCCGCTCTCCCGAGGCATGTCGTGCAGTGGGAGGGCAGCACCCTGTGCACAAGTAGGGCGAGATCTGGTGAGCACACAGCAGCATCTCATGAAACGTTACTCACTAAGTGTTCCTGGACTGGGAGGGACACCCAGGCCTGAGTGGGCCACCACCACTTCCAATAAACTGAACTGTAACGCTCTCCCTGACAAACCCAAAAAGCGATAGGTATGTGGATGACATGAGAAACACCTCTGCAATCAGTCCTTCGGGCCGTGACGGGCTTTGAAAGATCAAGCACAGCATGAAGGGGTTGAGGAAAAGGGAACTCTGCGAAGGAAGCAAGGGTGACCTGCAAACGTGCAATGCTTCAATGCCGTATGGCTGGTCAACACCCTTGGTGCTGACGGTCACAGGCATCTGCCAGGACCTCCTGCTGCAGGAGATGGATGCCAGGGCAATCCCTGCACAAGTAGTTATAGCGAGGACAGAAGACGACTCTTCTCACCTAGACGGAGCTCCCCGAAATTGCCGCATCCAATCTTCTTGCCGACCCGGAAGTTGGGACCCACCATTAAGACTCCCGAGTTGGTTCCAGCACTCCGGCTTCCATGACTGCTCCTTCCTCCACCTGTCTTGGACATCCTTTTACCTTCCTCCAGCTCCCCTTTCCCTCCTCTCTTATCAAAATCCATAAGTTTGTGATACCCCGGCCTCTCCACGGTTACGCTGCTGCCATACAAATCCCAGAGCTGCCGAAAGTTGAGGGGTGAGGAGAAAAGAAGCAGGGTTCTTCTTGGTTAATACACCATCACGGTGAGCGATGGGAGGGTGGGGCGTGGAGAAGGAGGGATAAGCAGCCACCCACGGGTGCTGGGCTACTGAAACGTTAGTGCTTTCCAAGGTCGCGCCGGGATTGTCATCATCGCCTGTTACAGGGATTTCTTTGGTGGAGAGAACATCCTGCGGAGAGGGTCCTCCCAGCGTGGCTCCTCAGTCTCCCAGCTGCGGAACAGGAGAGGGAGAAAATTAGCACGAGAAAACGAGGAGGCAGAGGACAACAGGGGGTTGTGAGGTCCAGGCTCCTGCCCCCCAGTTCTGCAGAGCCCCTCCAACACCTTCCCTGCATTACAGATAACTCCCACAACAACGAAGGGTGCTGCAACTGAGGGGTGGGAGAAGCTGGGGTATCAGGACCGTTGCAGGGTGCTCCACATCTAAGATGCTGGCATAAATAAATAAAGAAAAGTCTGGCCACGGCAGGAGGTGAAATGCTGGATGAGCATCTCCAGGTCAGAACCAGCAGAGTCATGTGGGGAGAATGATGTCCCCACAGGGAAGGGCTGCTGGCAGCAGAGAGACCTTCGGAGGCACCAGCCGAGTGCCGGCCTGCCGCTGGGCAGACCCAAGAGCCCCTAGAGCAGAGGACACATGTAAACCACTGCGTTACAGGGCAAACCATGCCAGGCGTGCAATTTCCTATGAAGTGAAATGAGGATATTCTCCCCAGGCAGCTGCTTGCCAGGAGGGTCCCTGTGGTTCTGGAGGCTGTGGCCAGCCAAGTCAGAGCAGTTCCCTCCAGCACCAGTCCCCACCGTGGCTGGGCCGGGACCTTTGTGTCAGCAATCCTGTGCCAGGACGCGTGGCAGAGGACACGGTTTCTAAGCAGCTGTACGTGTGTGGGGAATGACCACGCTCAGGGCTCCTATGACAGCCTACCCAGGCCGGGGTAAAATAGACACCGGCAAACAGGAACCCAGAACTTCCGAACACCCTGCTCACCTCCCCGGCAAGCTCCTGATTGCTGCCTCTTCCTCTGCTCTCGCAAACAAACCTTGATTTTAATTGCAAAGCTCGGAGCAAGGCACAGTGGCCAACAGGGCTGCTGGCTGCAGCCTGGGCAAAAGCCGCTGCGGCGCTTGCTGAGAGTAACTGCTGGCCGTGGATCGTTGTGCAGCACCTTGCCTACCTCCTGCACGCAGCTCCCAGCACTTCCCAGTGATGCTGGTGGCAAGCCTCGTGCTGGTGGTGGGGTAATTCGGGGTTCCCCTTGGCCTCCACAATGAGGCCGGACTAAGCTCAGCCCCTTGAACCAGAGAGCTCCTTCCCGTATGCATACCTCTGCCCATTGCAGGGGGGTTGGACCAGGTGACTTTTAAAGGTCCCTTCCAACCCAAACTATTCTCTGATTTTACGACAGTGGCTCCACACAAGCCCCCACCATGCAGCTGACCGTGTTCACACAGGTACAGCCCAACACTGAGGTCAAATCAGCCCCTCACTCCCTTCTGGAGAGGTGGGATGACAAATACCATCAACCAGCTCCATGCTCAGGGAACCAGGTTCCCAAGGAGGAGCTACACTCTTCCCTCCATCCAGGACTCCCACTGGAGCTGCCCGTGGGGAGGTCAGGCTCGGTCCCTCCTCGCCGGGACATCCGCAGCCAGACTGTGCCAGGAGCACGACAGCCAGGAAGCTAACGATGGGCTGGAAAACGCGGAGGGTCACACAGGACTCGGGTGCACACTGGGAGGCCACGTGAGAGACAGACAGACCGACCGACACACGCACGCATGCCCCGCTTTCTCCCCAGCATTCATCATCTCTGGTTTTTCACCCAGCTCAGCTCTGGCTCTGTTTTGAGCGAGCCAAGCCAGGAGGCAGCTCCCACCCCTCCCTGTCCATGCCCTCCCCAGCCCCGCTGCCCCTCTCACCACCTTCCTCCGCTCCTCTCCAGGCTCCCGTGATGCCCACCAAGAGCCCTTGCTGCTGCGGCCTCATTACCTGTGGGTTAAACAAGCAAACCCACACCCCTCCAGCACTCAGACTCCAGGAAATGAGCACACTGCAAGTCCTGACACTTGGCCAAACCCCGTAAAACTTTTTATTGGCTCTCAATAGCTCTTAATAACAACAACAACAAAAAAAAGGCTTCTTGTGCTAAAGGGTGCATGGAGGGAGGGTCTAAGAGCAACAAAGGGGAAAAAAGACACCCAAGCCAGAGCTCGGCATAGGGGAAGGATGGGTTGTGTAAGGGTCTGTGGGCAGGGGAGCTGGTCCCTGGGGCTGCCTTGCTCCCAGTCCTTGCCTGACACCGAATCCTCGCCAGAGCCCACCACGCTCCGTCCACAGCACCCTGGCAAAATGCCGCTGCTCTCCAGGAGGGACTGGAGCTGCAGGCACTGAAGGTGCGGGGTGCTGGCCCAGCTCCTCAGGGCTGTTGTGGGTGCATGACACCCATCTGTGGGACCTGTCTGTTCAAGTACTGGCGAACAAGGCTTTCACATGGGATGGGAGCCTCCTTCCCCCACCGGCTCTGTCCTCCAGGCCAACATCTCCGGAGCAGCCCCAGAGCACAGCAGCTCCAGCACAGAGCAGCCTGGTCCTCCAAAGCCATCCCCAGCAGGCCAACACCTGGGGACCATCCTGCTGCACCCAGCGCATCTCAACTGAGGGAAACTGAGGCACGTAGAGCCTTCCAGCTTCCCCAAAGGTGGGCAGCCACAGGCTCGGTTCAGGCA